ATTTTTTTAAAAAATAATCTAATGTGTTGATTTAAAAAAATTAAATATATATATATTATCTTAATATATTTTTAAATAAAAATACTTTAAAACATAAAAACATTGTTAAACTATTCCTATTTTTTATCAGAAATAGGATTCTCAAATAAAAAATAAGTCATGGATAAATTCAAGTGATTTTTTTTTTAAACACAAGTGATTTTTAATATGTGTTTGCCTTGATTGGGTCGAGGAATTAAATTGATTATAAAAATATGAGTTTAATTAGTTGATTAGACAATTTATTAGTGAATAATAAATAATAATATTTAGATAAGTGAATAAATTAACTTTAAGACAATAATGATTAATTAGTTATTATTGCTATAAATCAAGCTCGTATTTTATCTTCATTACCTTTTATTAATAATTAAAGACAATTTGAAAAAACTGAATTGATTATTTTTTATTAAATTTTTTAATTCAGATAAAAGAAATGTGCATGAATGATGAGGTTTTGGGAGAAAAACATGGGGGGAAGGGGAAGGAAAAGCTGTGTGCATCCCACGAAAATAATACGTAGCCAAAATATTTTTTTTTTACTTTAATTTATATTCAAGTTTTTCACTTATTCAAGGAGATTTTATGCTATTTGGTTTTATATAATAAAATGTCATTTTATATTTTCCTCGAGGATTAAAAGGATTATCATATTTCTAATTAAAAGTAAAATTAAGAGTAGCCGTTCAGGACAAGGTGCGTTGTCAGCACCCCAAGTGGTGACCTGACGAGTTTTGGCTCGTCCATGACGAGGCATGTCCCCGGTCGGTGCTAGCTGTGGCTAAGAAGGCATGAAAGGCCAGGAAGGGTTACTGCCAAAGGGCAAAGATGGCTCTTCGTATTAAATAATTTCTTTTCTTTTCTCGGAATGATCGAGGAAGGGAAAAACAGTGGACTCGGTCCCTCTGGGGGGATTTAAATACTCCTTCGCCCCCCTTATTGAACATAAAATTTAATTGATTGAATATAGTTTTGAATTTTAAATTTAATTTAATTCCTAGACCATATATTTTTTATTTATTTTTATAGCCACTTAGTGCTTTCAAACCCGTTGTTGACTATCCAATTAAAACTAGAGAATTAAAATAATAATATTTTACGACCCAAGTTGAGTTTTCAATATGCATTTAAAATTGCAAAAAAAAAAAACTTAGAATATGAATTTTTATGCATTTAAAATTGCAAAAAAAAAAAACAACAACTAAGAATATGGATTTACAATTTCAAGTCGTAGAGTTATCATATTTATAGTTGAAAAGAAGTTTTGGAGCCTTTTTATAGGTTTGTTTCTTTAGTTTTATAATGACTAATTTTCATGGTACTTAATTAACTTAATGGCTTCTTTTATAAATTAATATAATTTATTTCTCATATAAACACTATTTTTTTTTTTGAGATAGTGTAAACATAAAGGTTTATATTTGCTTCCTGGTGGTTAGCAATTTGAGTTATAGTGCCACTAAAAATTTACTAAAGATTTATATGTTTATTAATTTTAGAATACATGAAATTAATCAAATTATATGTATATTAACTTTAATATTTATATTAATTAAAAAAATAAATAAAATTTTGCTAATAAAACAGCTCATGGTAAAGGAACTGTACGAGTGTGGAGGCAGCAAGTCTCCCATGTTCTTTCTTGTTCCTTTCAATGGCATGATTTGCCCTAGTCGGTCCAACCTCTGTTATATAGTTTTGTCTTCATATTAGTAAATTTCAACCTTCACATGCAACACGTTGGATTTTGGACTTTTCTGATTCCTGGTCTTACGACCATACTTTTCTGTTTTTTTTATATATATATATATATATATATATCTATATATATATATATAAGTTTAAGTTGAATATGATTTGGTCAAATAAAATAAAATTACCTGTTATCAATGATTTTGTTTTCACACCAATAATTTTTCTTTTCCCTTGCTGCTCGACTCTTTTATAGTCTGGCTAGAAATAATAACCTCTGTGGGTGTGCGTGTGTTGTTAAATAACTTTGTCAATTAGACTATTTAGGAAAAAAAAAGAGCAAATAGGCTAAATCATATATTACAATGAAAATCATTAAATTTTATCTATATATTTTAGAAATATGTTATTAAATTTTATTTATAATTCTGGTGCCAACCCACAACAAGTTCCCAATAAAACTATCGTTAATGAATCATTAAAAAAAGAAGAAGAAGATTCTAATTGGCAATTAGATCTTTCTTTATTTTAAAAATAAAAAATTCAAGTCTATTTATAATATTAATTGTCAACTAGTTAAGATTTGATATTTCATATATTTCACATCTAAATATTTTTAAGAAAAATAAATAAATCATAACAAATATACTAAAAAATGAAGGGCTTCAACTATGTGTGTTTTTACATTAGTACTAAAAACATTTCACTGTAAACTATATCAATAAAATTATTAATTTACCTCTCATTCAAATAACAAATAGCCTTGTTAAATGAGGGTGTTAGAATTTTTTTATACAAACAGTGAAAATACTAAAATATTATTAAAGACAGCAAAGTTTATGCTTTTAGTCTAGGGATATATTATCTATTTTTTATATTTTACAAGACAATTATATTACTAAATACCCTTTAAATCAAAGAAATAAAAGTTTTTGATTAAGAGATATTTACATCTTTTCAGGCTGGTTATTTTGTTATTTATTTTATTTTATTAAGAATATTATTATATTTTATCATAATAAATAATATTAAATTTTAAAAAGATATGAGTATGTGAGTTATATGCACAAGCACGTGAAAGGTATCTATATATTTGAGATAATACATACAACGTCTCTTGACCATTCTCTGTGTAATTAAATACACCATCATGTTTTTTCGGTAAGAGTAATATGTATCATTAATGGTGGTTGGCTTGTTGCTAGTAAACCTTTCTCTTTCTCTCTCTCTTTTTTTTTAAATAATTGTTGTTTAGTTTTCTTTGTGTTTTGGTATTTAAAATTTAATCTTTCTTTTTCTAATTTTATATTTTTGTCTATTAACTCTTTCATAATTTTTTTTTCATTTTAATCCTTTAATTGCAATTTATAATATATTATGCCTTTTAATTTGATTATTAATCTTTTAATTTCTAATTTTTTTAGTCAATCTTTTAATATTTTTTTTTTAATTTCACAATTCAATCTAAACTTATTTTATTTGATTTTTTTGAATTATTTTTCTTTTCAATTTAAATCTTTAAATAAAATTTTTATCTCCTTTTTCCTTTTAATTTCTTTTTTTCATCATTTGCTCTTTCATAAAGGTATTATTTCTTTTCTATTCAATCTTTCAACTTCAATTTTTTTTTATTTCTTTGTTTATTTGGTTTTTTTATAAAAAATTTATTGGTTTTCAATCTCATATTTTAATTCAAGTTCATGTTGTGCTATTTTTTTTATTTGTTTGTTTGAGTTATTTTTGTTTTCAATTTAATTTTTTGATTGAAAAAATCTAGTTGCTCTTTAATTTATTTTTAATTAATTTTTTATTTTAATTATTATTTTTTATTTTAAATTTTTTATATAGTTATTTGTTTTAATATTTGTTGACTTGATCAAATTTCTTTATCATTTTCTTTTATTTAATTTCATGCTCTTGTTATTGTTTTTTGATATACTAATCTTTTTTTAATAAAAGTGATAAGGTTAATATTATAATTTTTTTAATTTAATTAAAATAAATTTAATTTGTTAATATGTTATAAGTTGAATGATTAATTACTCTTATTTTTTTTAAATAAATTTACTTGACTTGAATATTATTTTTTATTAAAAAATATAAACTCAAAGCGTAATGTATGTCGTTTCTAATTATCCACTTAACATTAAAAAATACTAATACTGCTCTTTCCTATGATGTCAGAACATAAACATTATTTGCTGTCATTAATTTTCATTAACAGTTGCTTTAAAAAATTCTCCAAAATCATCATTACAATTTTACAATAACCGATCACCATAGCGACGGTTGGTATTCCACCAAAGAAAAAGGCTTTCTTTAATGAAAATAAATTTTCTGAAAACTGATTTTTTTAAAAATTATTTTTAAAATTTATTTATTATTAAAAAAATAATTAATAAAAAATATTTTTTAACTTTATTTTTAGATGAGTGTTTTCCTAGAAAATTTAAACAAAAAATATTTTCTGAAAATTATAAAAATATTATATTATTTGATGATTATATCAAATTTGATTCTCAAATATTTGATTTATATATATATATATATATATGTTTTGAATATTTATTTTTTAATTTTATTTTTTAAAATTTAATTTTTATATTAACTTTGGTCTTATTTTTATAATTATTATTTTGTTTTTATTAAAATTTTTTATTTATTAAATTTGATCCTTATTCTTTTAATTGTTACTTATTTTATTTAAAATAATTTATGAAATATTAACTATTATTATTTTAATTTTTTTATCTTTTAATTTTTAATTTATTAAATTTGATCCTTATTCTTTTAATTATTACTTATTTTATTTAAAATAATTTATGAAATATTAACTATTATTATTTTAATTTTTTTATCTTTTAATTTTTAATTTTTTAAATTTGATCTTTATTATTTTTTTATTATTTATTTTATTTGAGATAATTAATGAATTATAATATTTTTTAATTTTATTTTCATTTAACTTTTTAATTTGTCAGATTTAATTCTTATTGTAATAAATTTTAAAAAATAAAATATTAATAAATTATTTTTCAATTTATTTTTTATAATATAATTAAATACTATAAAATATTTTTCAATATATTTTTTATTATCCTAACCATCATCAAAAAATAATTTAAAAAATTCTTTATATATCATCAATTTTACAGAAAGCCCATACATACAGACGACATTTTTTTTTGTTTGGGCGATTGCGTGTGTGGCTCTCTTTCCCCCCCCCCCCTTTTTTTTTTTTTCTATCTCTCTTTCTTTCGGTTGATTCTTTCTTTAATAGATCAAACCCAAGACATCAATCATTTGACATCTCTCCCTCTCTCTGTATAATAAACACAAGTACTTTTTATCTTCTCACATTTGGCTCCTGTGGTTCTGTCAAATTCTTGTCTTTTAAAGTTCTCAATCTTGATTTTCTTTCCTCCGGGTCTTCAATAGTTGTTGTTTCATCTCTGGAAATTGATTGTTTTAGTGGTTGTATTTGGTGAATTAAAGATTTGGCCATCTGGGGTCTTTGTTTTGATAACAAAGACCATAGCTTTGATGATTGTGAATATTTTGCTGTCTTTGTAGTTTAAAAAGGTAAGCTTTTGTTATTTGGGTTGGTTTTGTAGTTGATTTTGTGTCATTTCAAGGGGATAAAATCTCTTTTTGAAAGATATTTATAATTGGGGTTTGCAAAATTCACTGTTGGGAACAATTGGGTTTTATAGTTGTTCTTGATAAGCTCATTTGGAATCCAAAGCACTGCGTTCCAACTCTGGTTCTACAGAAGCACACAGGTCAGGATTCTTCGAGTTGGCTAATTACTGGAATTTAATATTCAAGCTTATTGTACAGTTTTGAAGCTGATATGGGTTTTTCTTCTTCTTTTTATTGTCACAGATATCTTTGCAGTAGATATACTTGGAGGCTGAGCTGCTTTGTAGATTTTGTATAAAGTTTTAAATTGTATTTGGAGAAATTATTTTAAGAGAATAGAAAGATGACAATTGGAAATATTCCTTCAAAGAAGGAGAGGAAATCAAGGAGGACCAAGCCAGTTGACGAGAATGCTCCTTTATTGCCTAAAAGGCAAGAGGATGCTGGTTTTGATGAGTTTAATGGAGCTTCCTTTACTGGGGCGGTGTTTAATTTATCGACTACAATAGTTGGTGCTGGAATCATGGCATTGCCGGCAACCATGAAAGTCTTAGGCCTGGTTCTCGGGGTCGCCATGATCATCTTTATGGCTTTCTTGACAGAGGCTTCTATCGAATTGTTGCTGAGGTTTAGCAGGGCAGGGAAGTCTGCTTCTTATGGAGGACTTATGGGGGATGCTTTTGGAAAGACTGGAAGGATTCTTTTGCAAGCTGCTGTTTTAGTCAATAACATTGGTGTACTCATTGTGTACATGATTATTATTGGTATGTGCACTTTCCATCATTTTTGTCGTTAAATTGTTGCTATATTTTTATTTTCTCAATAACTGCCTATATGTTCTCGTGAAGTTATATATAGTTAGTGGATCTTTTTTTTTTGTTTTGTTTTGTTTATGTTTTTGTGGTTCTATTTTTTTGTTCCACTTGGATCATGCTGAATTTTAGTTGTAAGACCTGAAATTTGTTTCGTGTTTGCTTAACTGAAGGTGACGTGCTGTCTGGAACATCTTCAAGTGGAGCTCACCATACAGGTGTGCTTGAAGGGTGGTTTGGAGAACACTGGTGGAACGCCCGTGCCTTTGTTCTTCTTATCACAACACTTTTTATATTTTCTCCACTGGCTTGCTTTAAGCGAATTGGTAAGTTGTCACGTACTTGGTCAGAAAGAGTTAATCTGTTAGCTGCTTTCTCCCTTTTTTTTTTCTTGTGTATCTTCATCAACTCCAAAGGAAAAAAAATGATTTAGCAATTTTTGACGCTGAACTACGGGTTACATCTACTTTCTTTTGGCACTTTGAACAGATTCTGGTGATTTGGAGTGGTCTGATGGCATTCTTTACTTGTAGTTCCCTTTTTCCTCTTATTAGTGAAAGAGCAATTATTTACTGGAAACTTTCAATGTACAAGGAGCTACAGGAAGAGCATAAATTGTAAAATGGATTATACATGCCTTTCCTCTTTTCAAGTTTCTTTTTATGTTGGAAGGGTTAGGATTAATATTTTTCGTTCTAGCCTTTTGTTCTTTGACTTGTAAACTATGCTTGATATGGATGCTTTTAACTTCCATATAGCATATGTTATTCATAGATTTGTTCTGCTATTTTGCTTGCTTTGTTATGTGGAATCTGAAAATTATATCTTTTCCAGCACAATTTTATCCCATATTAACGTTTAGTTGCTTGTACAAGTAATTGCATCATTGTTTTGCCCTTAGTATTTGTTTCTTCATTATGGAGAATGATTGTGCCGTTTATCTTTGCAGATTCTTTAAGTTATACATCTGCCTTGTCAGTCGCTCTAGCAGTTGTATTTCTTGTCATCACTGTGGGGATCACAATTGTCAAGTTGATAAATGGAAGTATAGCAATGCCCAGATTGATGCCCGATGTTACAGATATGACATCCTTCTGGAAACTCTTCACTACAGTTCCTGTTCTTGTCACTGCATTTATCTGCCATTACAATGGTATGCAATATTTATCTCTAACTTACTTGGGAGCTAAAGTTTTTTAGTCCTGTCTTCTTAGAATTGGTGATCAATAAAAATAGGATTTAGGTTTATGAATATTTGGGGACTAGCAACGCTCTTAGTAACTGCTAGCAACACCCTCCAAAAAAAAAAAAGTTGAAGATACATGTATTCTCTATTTTAAGCAGCATATTAAAATTTTTCCCATATAGTCTGAAATTCTGAGTGATGTCTTGCAATAATCAGATTGTTTGTCTGCTCATGAACTGAGAATTTTTCCTTGAAATTCTATTCAATAACCCTTTTAGTCTCCCTACATTACTGTAATCAAATTTTGTAGTATCTGTCCTTATGATTGGGTATAGATCTGTAAATACATGACCTGAATTTAAACCAGTGATTAAAGTACTGATGTCTGAGTGCGTCATTTCCAGTTCACAGCATAGATAATGAACTTGAAGACTCTACTCAGATAAAACCAGTTGTGCGAACAGCACTTGCTTTATGCTCGACTGTGTACATAATGACAAGCATCTTTGGGTTCCTTCTATTTGGTGATGCAACTCTTGATGATGTGCTTGCCAACTTCGATATGGACCTTGGCATTCCCTACAGTTCTCTTCTTAATGATGCTGTTCGTGTTAGTTATGCTGCTCATCTTATGCTAGTGTTTCCAATTGTCTTCTTTCCATTACGGCTCAATTTGGATGGCCTACTCTTTCCTTCAGCACAGCCTTTTCATCAGGCAAACACGAGGTTTGCATTAATCACCATTGGGCTTATCACTACAATTTTCTTGGGTGCAAATTTCATTCCAAGCATCTGGGACGCTTTCCAATTCACTGGAGCAACTGCTGCAGTTTGCCTTGGTTTCATTTTTCCAGCTTCCATTACTCTCAGGTGAGTTCTTCACTGGCATTTACAATTTCAGCTATTATCCCTTTTCTTTTCATAATTTGTTTCTTTTAATGTGTTGTTATAATTTATATGTTGTAGTTTGTAGATATCCCATTCAGGATAAATATTGACAGTTGATTTGATCAATAACTTTTATCTATAAGTGATTATGATAGGTCATAAAAATTATGAAGAAAGATTTAACTTGCTAGCGGTGATTTCCTGTGAAATAAAATAGACTGTTGGGCAATCTGTGACACTGAATGCTTACATAATCTTTTGAGTAATGACATGGAGTAACTGTGGCAGAACAAGAATATATTTTCCCATTATTGTTTGATTTCTATCGAGTTTGATCATTGTCTTGTAATCCTGGAATACTGCCTAACCAATTTATTTGTTCTATTGTTTTGCCTTGTTTCAGGGATCGCCACAATATAGCAACAAAGAGAGACAAGATCTTATGTATTTTTATGATTGTGCTTGCTGTCTTCTCCAATGCGGTGGCCATATATAGTGATGCCTATGCCTTGATCAAGAGGAATCCATCGCATAGTGAATGATCTGGCTAGCTGTTCAAAGTTGGCGAATGGACTCAGATGCGGCCATTTTTCCAGTGCAAGAGGCCTATTGGTAGAAGAATCCTTTTTGGTCTCAAGTTGGAAAATGCAAGTCCCTCGACAATATGCAAATAGAACTTCAATAAGAACACTGAATCGATGTATAAAATCAATTTGCTGAAGGAGTGTGAGATCTATCCTTTTGGACCTCCTAGTATGTGCATTAGTGTGCTGCTGTGTGCTTGAATTTGCTTTGTTGATGAAAATGAAACTATAAAAATAAAGATTCACGATATATATGATTTTGCTTTCATCCTTGAGTATTTTGGCCATGGTAGACTAACCAGTTACGGCCTCCTTTCGAGCTTTTTAGCTCCAGATGTAAAATTTTTAGGTAACGTAAGCTCAAGCTGTTTGTGCCAAATTCTTCACGAGGCCTTGTGCTTCAGCGATTAAGGGCCTTCATGTATTATTCTTACAATACTATATTATCAGCTTTATAGGAGATAATAAAAAGGATATAAAAAAACACATCGAGAGTTTTTTAAGATATAAAATCAATTTAGAAGCTTTGATGGTGTCCTTGATGGTCCTGCCACTGAGTTTAGGGTCTGATTTTTCAGTTTCTATCTTACTATAATTAGACTTCCATCATAACTCACAAGAAGAACGACCAACAACATAGTTACGTTGTACGATCTTGAATTTTTTGCTTGAATTCCAACTAGGGTTTTGTTATTGGTGACATGCAAAGTTGAAGAACACTTCTTTCTTGGAAAAAAAAGAGAGAGATATGGAGGAGAGTTGTGGTGGTGATCATGGCGATGGTGCTATGGATGGAGGTGTATTTGTGCTTGAGTACTGGTGGGAGTATGAAATTTAGTAATTTGTTTCTATTTAAGAGGCATTTAAGCTATATCCATTTCAATGTGTAAAATAGACCGAGTTGCATATTTTTTATTTAGAAAATCTTGTATTATTTTTTATGTTGTACAATATTTATTTAGAGGGATAAAAAATAAAAAAAAGTAATAAATTATTTTAGAAAATCTTTTTTGGTTAATATATTGTGAGTAATTAAACTTACATAAAGTTTCTTCTTGCATTTGCTGTGAATCTTACTAGCAAATCTTATAAATCCAATTATTGAATTTTTTTAGGAAGAATATTCGATAAGGTTAGTATTATTTGTTGTTGATATTAAAAAAATATTATTAATTAAAAAATAAATGAAAATCATAATTTTTTTTCATGAATAAGTTCAAGACCAATATATATATATATATATATATATATATATATATATATTGTATTTATTAGGGCATATTTGAGGTTATAGTAAATAAGTGATAGGAGAATGTTTGAGGTTACAATAACCATGGTTTTTAAAATATTTTTTACTTGTAAATATATTAAAATAATATATATTTTTTATTTTTTAAAAATTTATTTTTAATATCAACATATTAAAATAATTTAAATAAAATTAATTTAAATATTGTTTTTTCAAATTTTAACGAAACTCAAAGCTAAACACCTCTTTAATATAAGATAAAAAAGTACAGGGACCAGATTAACATATTTAGAATTATACAGGTACCGGATGCTCTTTAATAGGAAAGAAAGCCCAGAATTATACAGTACCAATCAAATCGGCGTCCCTGAACCGAGCCATGGCGTGTCCAAATGAGAAAGAAGCCGGGATGCAACAGCAAGACGACCTCGCGGATTCGCTCAACGATCTCTTCACTAGCGTATCAAACATGGTCCAATCTGAACTCCAGGTATCAAAACAAGAAACCCCTTTCCCCCATGTTGTTTAATTCCAATTAATTTACGTTGCTTTTGGTTTTTTTATTAGGGGACAAGCAATCAGTTGGAGCTACTGGAGAAGATGAATGTGAGAGTGAGTGAAGAGTACAAAGGGTTCGGTGATGTGGCATCTGGGCTAAGGGTATATGTGGAGCAATTGAAGGGCAAGAGTGGTAATTTTGAGGAGTATGTGCATCAAATTGAGGAGATAGAGAAACAAGTTACTGAATTTGAAGCTGTTATTTCAGTTCTTGACAAGTATGTTTCGTTGTTAGAATCTAAAGTTAAATTTGTGTATCAACAACAGCAGCACCCTCCTCCTACTTCTTAACTAAATATTGGGTTTTGTTTGTTTGTTTGTATTGATTTGGGTAAATTCAACTTCGTTGAGAATAATTGGGAAAGTTTCGTTCTCTCTGTTTCAATCAGCAATACATTTATTTTCCTTGTGACTTGGGACAGACATAAATTCACTTATTTGTCGTCTGCAAGTAAAAGAAAAGCCACATGCCAAGGAAGATTTAGCTGCCCTTGATGGTCCCTCCACGGGGCTCAAACTTCTGGCCTTCTAGTTCTGCGGATCAAATACCATGTTCACCTGAGAACTTGGAAAAACCCTTAGCTTGCAATTCCTGCTCAGCTCGACAACTTTATACGTAAACTCAAAGCTAGAAATTGCTTGTGTTCCCAGGTAGGAAATTGAAACAAAGAAACCGGACAGTGGCATTGACATAGGGTGAAATAAACAAGGATGTTACTGCATATCAATGCTGTTCCACGAGGCTGGAACAACCTGCTAGATCAGAGTTTTTTTTTATGAGCCCAACTTTCTTTACCGAAGCGAGGGACGTAGCAGGGAATATGAGGATTTAGGAGGCCAGATGCTAGAATCACTTCCATTGCAGTCTCCTCCTCTGAATTATGATGCTAATGCAAAGTTGGGAGTTCTTAATCACACATGGGATATCTTCTTCTATTTTTTTGTTCAATGAGACTTGTATGAGAGGAAGTGAAGATTGAAAAAAGTAGCTGGTCGCATTTATTACATGTATGCACAAGCAAATAGTCTGGGAATTTTCTGAAGAAACTAGAGAGGGTAGCATACAGGGAAGAATTGGGAAGAGCAAGGCAAAAACACCAGCACTGAAATTTGAATCGATCAAATAGCGAGCTGGTGAATTGATTAGAACCACTATTCTCAGCACACAGAAGCTCATATATTGCTGCCAACCAAAAGCTTGTACAGAGCTGCAAAATATTGCGATATCTATTCATCATATGATAACACTAACTATCATCACTAATTTATGATCAGCTATTTATAACTAATACATGATGACCATTTACAAACCAGTCCAAAGTTTTTCGCTCGTAGAGATGCCTTAATTTACAGTTGTAATTAATAATTGTAAGCACCGCTATGGGTTTCCAATATTTGTTACAAAAGGCACTAGCCTCCTAAAATCCCTTTTCCTCACTAGAGCACAGTTGTCAAGTACTCGCCCAAGGATAAGGCGCGTGTTCTGCAACGCCACCTCTCTAGATGGAATCCCTGATTCAGCCCCCCCTTGTGCTGCTGGCATGTGACCCGTACCAAATCCCGAACCCATAGCATATTGCAAGGGCCCGCTCCGAGCCTTAAACGAGGTCTGAGGAGCCAACAGCTTTTCATCAGCTCCGTTGTCATATGACCCTGGCTCAGGAGGGTGGGAACCTGTCAATGAACTGCAGCTCTGCAAAAGGGCTTCCAGTACACTCAGTGCCTCGAAGCACAGAGAGCTCTCCACCAGCTGGGACACAATTGCATACATACGTGGACTTTGAGAAGCATCCATGGGAGTGTGCTGGAGCAATGACTTGAGCGTTAGCAGTATCACACGCTGATACTCAACTGGCCCTTTCTCAAGTAGCTGAAGCAAGTGTCCAAAAGCCAGGGCAGAATGTTTTGGAAACCACTCATTGCACATTAGAGGGGAGACACAAGCGAGAAGGGTATCGATGCTTTTGATCTCTCCATGGGCATAAATCACAAAAACAGTGGCTAATCCATCTAATGATTTTGCTCGACACCAATGTGCAATGTTGTTAGCAACAGAGCAGGCCTTCTGCCATTGCTGTTGGAGTGGCAAAGCAGGCACTGTAACTGTATCCTTGCTGAGCTGCAAGCAGAGCCAGGGAAGTAAGCCTGTGATGTGCATGAGGAGCCTTGTCTCTCCATCCCCAAATATAGAGTCACATGAATGCACCGTGATCCGTGACAGGACCTCAATGGAGACGCCATGACTGACAGTAGACATGAGCCCTTTAAGCACAAGCGGCTGCAACCCTTCAAATGCTGGCAAAGTCCCACTGGGTGATGCCAGTGATTCAATTCTTTGAAAATCCCCAATGTCACCACCACTGTCAAGCTCATCACGAGGCATGCTTGAAAGCAGCACATTTTCTGTTGTTTGGTCCTCGAATGATAAACGATCAATTACACGTGAGCAGAGCTCAAGCACCTGGCAGTACACATGAACAAAATCTGTGTGCATCATGGCTACACAACCCCAGAAGAGTTGGGGGTAAAGTATCAATTTTTCTGGCTCCATATTTTCCACCATTACTTGCAGTGTCAACAGAATTTCCATAATGAATCCCAAAACTGGGGGTGCTGGGTTTCCTAGGCACCTATGTAGACATTTAAGGAGTAATACACACGTGTCACTTGTGACACTAGGCCGCAATGCACGATATATCTGGTGTGAGCGACATGCAAGGTGTCTTGCCGTGCACTCCATAGCCCATTTGAGTGCCTCAGCACCCCAAGTCTCACGAAGATCTCCTTGGAAGAAGATTGCATCAACCATACTCTGAACTAGTGCAGACAGGAGCGCTGCACTTGGAAGTTCAGATCTCACAACAGTGGGATCCTCATTTTCCCACATCATGCTCCCACGCTTTGACTGGACATACTTGATTAGGCTCACAACCTGCTGTTTGTTCTCTCCATCGTTGTTTTCCACCTCATACAATTCCAAGTGTCGGCCTGCAAGTGAGTATAAGAGATTAACAAGCAAATTCTGGCAGTGCTCTAGCACAATATCTTCTGAACTATCCATCGAAACAAATGTGACATGAAAAAGAAGAGGCAAATGTTCGCGAAAATCTTCATCATTCTCGTATGCAATTTCTGCCAGTAGAATCAATGCTATATCTGCATGAGTGAGTGAATGTTGTTGATGCCCTTGCAAGGCCGACTGGAGCTCTTTGGCACTGACACCATGCATACCAACTCCAGGATGCAACCCATCTTCACCAGAGTTTGGAGTGTCAATGAGGTAATCCCCACTATCCCGAGAAACATGCCGACTTCGCAAACTTCCTGTTGAACTTCTAACTCCCATTAAAGGGCCTGACATGTTCACCAAAGCTGGAAGAAGCTGGCCTGACCTTCCTGCGGTTACAGGAACAATGTTCAACTCAGGAGGCATTGGACTTAGAGGGCCTGAGACACTTCGTCCTGTCA